AAATCACCTATAAACAATGCTTGAAAATTTAATCTTGTCCTGCATTTGTAGGTGATGTTATATTTTATAGCTGATATTGCATGGGGATTGGGGTTAAGGTGTTGGGAAATTGTTGTGTGGGGATGTGTGAAAGACCTTTCATCACCCTCTTGTGCTAGTTGATGGCTTTCCATGCTTTTGAGGGTAGGTGCATTGTTGCACCACTATATTTATACATATGGTTTTCTGATACAACAAGTAATAGGGCCGCTCTTGATTGGTTCTAATCGTATGTAAGTTTTAATAGTCGGATGATGATCCAGATAAACCATTCTAGTTATGTTTTTAAGTAGGCAATATTAAGGACATAAAACCCTTAGTCCAGCAAGATCAAGCAGGCAAGTTTCTTGGTATGGACTTGGGAATGGGGTTGGTTGATCATTTTTTGTTTGAATTTGATGTTCTTACCTATTCCTAAAATTTTAGGCTTTCAAACAGGTCTTATATTTAGTAACTATTTATCTAGAATCTTAAAGTTTTTGCTTTAGATTTCAAGCTCAAGCCGATTTCTTCGCTTTAGTTATAAAGTAGTTAGGAATTTCAAATGGCTTTTGTATTATATAAAAGTATTATTTGATGTAATAGAAATTAGAGAATAGTTTTTTGTCTAAGAATTTGAAATTTTCTCATTTTCTTTCTCTATTTTTTGTAAGTTGCTAGAAGAGTAGTAGCTGGACATTTTTCTCCCTCATCTCTTAAATTCTCATTTGAGTTGAGAGCCATTGTTTCAGAAGAGTCATTGTTTCAGAAAAGCCTTGTGCAACCATATATCACTTCAGGAGGTATATTTTTGCTGAAATATGTGTAGAGTATTAATTTTTATTTAGTTGTGAAGCCGATCAGTCCATTGATTAAACCAAATAGCCCTTAAAACTCAATTATATTGACTCAAACCAAACCACAACAGGGCCGAGCTTGTCCCATACCCATTCTATTTTAGGCTGAATTTTAAATGTTTCATTTTCTTAGGCTTAGTTACGTTCTTTGAATACTATTTTGCTTGCATTTAAATATTTTGTTAGGTGTAGATTTGAATTGAAAATTATGCTTTATGTTTTAATTATATTTCTATAAATAAGCATTAATTGCTTATAATTGAATTATTGATTGATTGATGAATGAAAATTATTTTGCGAGGCCAATCAAGTTCTCTTTAGATTCAATTATTCGAGCAGAGTGTCTCTTTCTCCTCCATCAATTTTGGTATTAGAGCTTATTGTTTTCATTATTGAGTTAAATATATGTCATTATTTTCTCATCCCTTTCTAAGTTTTTCCTCAATAATTTTGTGGCTTGAAATCCTATTATTATAATAAAAATCCATCTCACCTGCATCGCAAACTCACCCAACAATTGCAAATCCGTTCTGACCCTGTCGATTGACTTTGGCAACTTTTTTGCTTATTATTCTAGTGCAGTTAGCTCAGCTTGACTACTTGCCCAAATATTTTACTTTAGCTACACTCATACATCTTGCTTACACTTAGCAACCCTAATCACATGGCCAATATTTTGTATTATCTTAAGAATCGTGCCTCCCTGTTTGTAGCTCTTCTCCGTACTCGCTTTTGTATGGCCGCTTGCACCTGTTTTCTATCTTTATTTGTGAATTATCATTGTAGCAACATATGGCCGCATGTTACGACCCGACATGAAGACTCAAATTAACGAGGCGAGAATAAACGATTGGACGGTTAATATGTTTCTTCAATTACACATAAACAATAAAAACTAACATCCCACAAAACTGAAGAGCCACTAAAACAATTAAATATTAAGCATATACCTAAATCATACAATCAAATTTTTGACTGTTCCTCTCTTTTAATCATTTCTACTTATCAGAAGTTTTACTTGAAAAATTAGCTTAACAGTTTGAATTTATATGGTAAACTCAGTGGATAATCCCAACATATAATATGACAGTAATCATATAAAATAAAACATGCCTGTTCCTTTTTATCACTTATATAGTGAATATATACACAATATTTTATATGATATAGATTCTTATAATTTGCCTTTCCAAATAATATATTTCTTTTTCTGTCTCATTATTCATTTTCATTTTTAATTTATTCCTTTTCCCTTTCATTTACTATATGAGCACCATCTAAAATTTGTACCAATGAAGGTACATCAATTTCCATTTCTATTTAATATACAGGGGTACATTGTATTCCCAGCCAGTATCATAAATGAGTGAACTTGTATTTACATGCATGCATATTTTCCCTTTTTATTTATACTTTCTTTTACATATTGTAAGTTATGAGTGCTAAGCATTATTTATACTTTAATTTATGAGTGTTAAACTTTCATCATTTTAAACATAATAGGTTTTCAACATAAATAAATAAATAGGCATAATTTACTAACTCAAACTGAAATGATAAATAGGGAATGTAATTGCTATATGATAACTATAATTATCTACTTTGATTTTTTCAATTGCTTAATTATATGCATTAAACATTCAAAAAATATTTATGATACTACATGTGATAATTGCAATGAATTAAAAATAAATTATTATTTCTATGAAAATAATTATAATTATCCACTTTAGAGATTGTAGAGATTCGATGCATGCATTGATTTCTTGAGCTTTATGGATTTCCTACTGTTTATTGATTTTATTGATTTCTGTTCCGTATTGATTTTTGTATCTGCATTGACCCATTGATCATGTACGATCTATTGATTTGACTTGATTTGATTTCCGCTGCATAGATTCACTGATCATGTGCCATTGCTGTTATGGATTTGATAGATTGACATGCATATTGTTTCTAGTACCGTGCTTTGATTTCAGTTGTAGACTTTGGTGACCTGCTGGGCTTTTTGAAGCACATTATATGTGGTTAACAATTTCAGGTCCGAGCAAGGCAACTGGAATGGAGTTCGATCAGAATGTCAGACGAATCCTTTCACTATGGATGCCTGGGGCGTCACATAAGCTCAAGCTTAACTTAAGCCCAGGTTCAATCATTCAAACTCAAGTGCATATCAATGTCATTTCTCATTCAATCTTTGCTTGTAAATATGCTTCAAGTTATGTTGAATTCCATAAGTCCTCTATTTGATTGTTGATGTTCATTTGAACAATTTAAAGTATGGCTCAACTCAAATGTTTCATTCAGATCCAAGTTCTTTAGAGTTCATGTTCCTTGGTTCAAGCTTAAGCTTCTGAGTTTAGTTCTTGTTCAATGTGCAAGGTCAGATTGAAGTTAGACCTTTCTTACATCAAGTTCATTTGAGTTCAATTTTGGTTCTTTATGTAGCTCAAATCAAGTCCCCTATTGTCTTGTAGAGTTCAAGTCCAAATCATGTGAGTTCTTGTTCAATTCAGGCTAATGTTATCTTTTATATTCACTTAAGGTTGAGTTCACTTAAGTCCCATTTGTTCAATCAAGTTCAGGTACGGCCTTGCGTTTACCCAAAATTTTAGCAGTCTCCCGACGTCTCCCCTGTTTAGGGGCAAACTACGGGAAACTAGGCCTTTCCCACCACGCTAAGAAAAGCATGTATGGTAGGTGTCCTCGGACGAGGACACCGCGGCCGTATTTTTTTATCCTCCACCACGCTAAGAAAGCGTGTGTATAGGTCTTTGGTACCTGTTATAAGAAAAAAAAAGTTGTTTCCCCGCAAGCGGGTACTTATGGGTATCCCCGCTTCGTCGTACGCATAGAACCGGGTTCTCATCCCACCACGCTAAGAAAAGCGTGTATAGACGGTTTTTCGGTGTGCTACGAACTCTGAAGAAGGGACTCTAGGTGATCACCCGATTCATCGAGAGCACCGCGACGAACTTCCTCCCACCATGCTAAGAAAAGCGTGTATAGTTGATCGTTTTGTCGCGTTGCAAGCGTCGAAAGCGGGTTCTCGAAGTTTTTAAGGTTTGAAAGATTATAGCTTGAGCTAAGTAATGAGTTGGAGGGCTGAGTTAAGTTGAGTTGGGTAAGGATTGAGTGGATTGAGTTGGGGGATGAGTTGATTGAGTTGGGATGAGTTGCTGAGTTGGAGTGAGGTGTTGAGTGTAGTTGTTGTTAATAGGATTTGGGCCGATTTTGGTTGAGAGGGAGAGAGTGTTATGAAGTGGTCTTGGCTATATGAGATGGGGCCAGGATCAGGCTAGGGCAGGAGTGGAGCGGTGTCATGGGTTGAAGTTCGGTCGGCTATAGGGTCTCGGCAAGAGGAGGAGGTCGTGAGGGAAGATTGAATCGTGGCTTTCATTCGATCTGGGAGGTGAAGCTTTGGGATTTCGGCTTTAGGTAGGGAGATCTACCTCTCCCTCTCTCACTCTCTCTCTCTCTCTCTAGACCGAAATGAGCAAAGGGAGGAGGGAGGTTTGCGTGAGGTCGGGTAAGGCTTCAGCGGTGAGATGAGTTTGAGGTTCGGTCTGATGGGGAGAAAGACTGGCGTAGGGCTTTTGTGGGATCGGCTTCGGTGTCGGAGGCTTGCATGGAAGGTGCAAATGGGAGAGAGGGATCAGACAGAGATGGAGAGGGAGGAAGTCGGGAGCAGGCAGAGAGGCTTGCGATGGGGAAGATATGAGAAGAAGAGGCTTCAGCTTCTATTTAACAACGCCAAAAAAACACGATTCAGCGAGATTTCTGCAGGAATCGCGGAGAACCGACTGGAGCGGCGCCGTTCTGCAGGTAAGCAGGATTTCTTCCTCTTTTTCGGCAGGATTACGTGGATTTTTGCTTGATTTTGATTTTCTCTTCTCCCCTTGATTTTAATCTTGCTGTTGAGGTCAACACCGAGGGATTCCAACAACTAATGGGTAGATCAAGGATTGTTAACAAGAGGGGGAAGGGGGGTGAACATTTCTCTTTTGGGTTTAAAATTCGGTGACCACTTTTACAAAATAAAGGGTTATCCTATGAGGAACCAAGGTCCATCATACCATGCAATCTCATAGTCTTCTGGGGAAGAAAACTTTAATATAAAAATTCATCATTAAGAGAAAGAAGGTTGATTGTACCTTTGAGTGCCCAAGCTCTTTTAATGGCACCAAGCAAAGCTTCATAATAAAGCCACCTACTGATGGAGTAACCAACCAAGGAAAGTTCTCATTCCTTCGAACCTCCAGGAATTTCTTCTTCTAAGAAATGTATGGTGTCGGACATGTGTTTATGAAGTTCACAAAGAAATTATTTGTAGCTGGAGTTTTCGAATAGAGAACCATCTTCGAATACAGGGCAAGGGTTCGGTTAGAAGAGGTGAATTTAGGGTTTGTAGCAGTGGAGGGAGGGATAGAGTTTGGATTGTCGAGGGAGGGGAAATCTTATCCCTGGAGAGCACCTGAGAGAAGAAGTTGTGTAAGTTAGCAGGTAACTAGTGTTTGAAGGGGCTTTCAAGAGAATAAGTGGAAGATTGGGGAGAGGTGATTTCATGGAGTTGGGGAGTAATGAGGAGCTGCTATCTGACATCGCCTCCAGGGAAGAAGCATGGGAAGGGAGGCAACGAGGGTTTTCTCAAGAAGCGGACATTTTTATCAATGCCTATGATAATTATCAATATTATATTTAAAGAAACATAAATTTCATAAAAAGAAAATAAATAAAAAAGAGAAGGAAATTAAGAAAGGAGAGGGTGTTTCCTCCCTTGTCGTGAACTTCTTGCCTTCTTCATCACTGCCTTGCACATGGAAAGGTATAACATTCGCAAACTCAAAAAATCTCGCTGGCAACATGTGCAGCATGACAGACGGCCCCCTATGTGCTTTTCGTAGCAGGGCATGGGAAAACTCATATGCAACACCCGAGACGTAGCAAGAAAGCCCCGTATACCCTTTTCGTAGCATGGCAATAAAGATTTTAAGTACCAATGAGAAACTAAAACTCAAATCTTAAAATCCTCGCATATGAGGGAAAAATCTGTGTAGTGTCTTATCTTTTAACCAACTTGTCTTTTGAAAATTTCTCCCAAAACATAATTCATTAATATTCTCCCTGAATCGGTGGGAAGAGGTTGAGGCACCCAAAAGTAAATTTTTGTAGCAGACGATTTATCGCAACTAACAATTATAGTGATGTTGGAAGAACAATTATTTAGGAAAAAAAGCAGCCCATAAAACTAACTACCAACATTCTAAATGGATAAACCTCAATTGCTCCATTAGATTCGGAAAATGATGTTAATAGAATATTTTTTTAGAATGATCTTTAACATGGTGAAAGTATTTAGAGGGAGTATGGGAACTAGGCAAACAAACATTATCCTAACAATCTGTGGGTATGGATATCATTTTAATGCAGAATAAACGGATGAAGAGGTTTTATGCATTGGCCACATATAGCACATGTAAGGGTAACTCACAGGACTGATGAAGCTGCCTCAGATAGTGGAATCAAAGTTAATAACGCAAGTTTGAAGATAATGCGGCTTTTTCAATAGCTGAAAGAACTGTGGCCAGTATGTTCTTTCCATCATAAAGGAAAATGGTTAAATATAAAAAGTGATGGAAGTTAGTTGCATATACTTAGAATAGAAAAGACCGTATATAGCAAGAAACAAACAGGACATGTTCCTAGAGCTTAGCAAAGTTGGAAAAACACATACCTTGGGAGCACATGCTGATCATTGATTTCAATATCTGTAAATATTTCATTTCTTATATTTAAGCATAAATTTTTCATCTTTTCATAAGCAGTATTAAGAGTTACAGTTTCCATCATAGGTCCTCCATTACTGCTTGCAGAAGTCCCTTCAATGTTGCTTTCAATAAATTCATCAGTTTCAGATAGTTGCCTCCTTGATATCTTCTTAGCAGCGACCTGCACAAGGTATCAACATCTTAACAAATACTTTTTTAAACTAGCAGACAGGTTGTTGCAGATAAACCAGAAAAAAAGTTATACTAAATTACTTTAATAAGACTAATAACCTGGAAATAGCTGCACAATTTTAATTGAGCCTCTGGTGACAATATATCATGCAAAAGCTTGTATAGATTTATAGCAGGAGCCAAAGCTGCAGCTGGTGTGCTAGTAGAAGATTGGAAAACTTCCACAATTCCTGAAGGTGATGACTCATCCAGTGCCTTGTAGTTTTCAAAAACCAAAGCTAAAAGAATCTCAATTTGCACCTCAACTTCTCCAAGGATACGATCCTGATGGATGAAATGACAGGACAATAAACATTAGTATTAACCAAACAAAAATCAAATGATAAAGGGCAAGTTATTATCATCACCAGCTTTACCCCAACAATTTGTGGTCAACTTAAAACATGAGAGTATGTTTTATGTGGAACAAAAAGAATACAATGTGAATGACTGCTCAAATAGATCTTCATCAATTGATTAAACTAGACTAGCTAATGATATAACTAGCTACTATTGGATTAGCACGAATAATTATTGAACTTGAAAAGAAATATTTATGTATTTTGCATGATAAAATGAACTCTAAAATGAAACTAGCAATTTCATAAGCAAGAAGCAACAAGATCAAAATGCTAATGTGAGAAATGGAGCCTGGCTGCTAGATATGTAAGTTATCATAACCTAAGATTGTCCTCATCGAGCATTCCTTTTTTGTAGTTTTAGTCCTTCTTTGGAAGTCCTTTTCCAAGGGTTATAAAGCTACACTCAAGAAGTTCACTTCAGTGAAAAACACGCAAAGAAATCACATCAAAAGTGCAAGAGAGCGGCTAAATTTCTTTCTCATCGATAGATCCACGCATTACACAATAGAGCATATATAGTGATGAAAAGGGAACCTAAAAGCCATGGACAAGGGGGAAGTTGGTCATGATTGGAAATGGAAAGAAATAAAAGTTTGTCGAGCTTGAAAAGTCTTTTGTTCCAATGATTTATGTGAGTTCCCATGGCCAAAGATTTAACAAAGAGGGGGCGTCCAACGAGTAGTCATAAAGCAAAGAGACGAGAGTAAAGGGAACATTCAAGCCATGTGAGAGAGATAACAGGTAGTAGCTAGCGAGTTATCAAAGTTAAAAGATGATATGGAGGCCAACTAATTAGGTAGATGTTTGACATTAGTCCAAGAATGATCAAAATGGCTAAAAGGGGTCAAATGTCATTATCCAGCTTTGACTTCACCATTGCGACATTCACAAGGCCCAAATAAATCAAGAAACTAGTACAGAAATGATAACAATTAAAGAAAAAACATCCTAAAATCAATAGGAATCAATGACTTATCACAAACAAGGGTCAAAAATAAAAACACGTAATAAATAAGTGAAAATATATAAAATAAAGTGACACATAACTCCTAGATATATGCAACACATTAAATGATTTCTATAATGCGCCATATATCAGTTTTCATGAGAAGGTATATGGAAAATAAAAGGAACAAATTAAAACCTATCATCCTATAAACATCTTAAAAATCAATAATTTGGAATATGGACCTCTCAAGAAGAGAGTGAGAGCATAAAATCTATCGTTTGCCTTTGCAAAAGGTCCCACTAGCAAGATACAATGATTCTGAAATATAATGTTCTCATGCTAGAAATATAGAATTAAAGACAGGAAGAAACTATAACAACATGCAACTGAAGAGAGAGGCAGCACAGCAAAGTTAGACCATCGTAGAGACAAATGGAAAACTATGTACCTCCTGTTGACTCAAAGCTTTTTTATCGCCAGTCTTCAAAAGTACAGGTGCAAGAAGATCAAGCACCAACGTTAGGCAATCTGCTGTAGGGGTTGCTACATCCAAGATGTAAGACAGATATCTGCAGACGTTTTGAATTTCTTTGGGTAAAAACTGAAAAGGTGAAATATAGAAAAAAGAAAGTGGAGCACTCCTATAATACCTTAATCTTGTGTATGCATCTGAAACACCATAATATGAAGCAAATTCTGTTAGTAACCATTTCCACGGTCCATGCAGTAGTAAATTGCGTTGCTGAATATTTTGAACTTTCATTGCAACTTCCAATAAGATGTCATATGCCACAGTTTCTGCAACAGATGCACACTGCAAAAGGAAAAATATTATTTCACAGAAAGAATTGACTATATGAGAGGTCGACACACAGTTAATCTTTGTCCTAAATGTGTGGAAAAAAAAAATCCTACTTTAGGAACCTCTATGAAGAGTAAAAAAACTAATGAAGGTATTTTTACCTTCCAAGAATTGATTTCATTTGTAGTGGTTGAGTAATTTACATAAAGCTGAATGCGTCCTACAAATTCATTTTCTGGTTCCCGATAAATAGACCACCAACGAACCTTGTCACTCTGAAGAAGTACAAGAAGTTACAAACACAATATCATGCCATTAACCTTAAAACATAATACGAATACCATACCGGATCCTCTGCAATATTTGCCAACTTAACAACAACCTGACCAAGAATCTTTCCTTTGGAATCATGAACTTCAACAATCAGATCATCTCCCATACTATCAGGGAAGCTGAAATTAACATTATGTTGTTAGTATATAAAAAAAAAGGTTTTCCTGTAAACCATCTCATAAATGATTAATGTAATTTAATACATGCGTGTAAAAAACAAAACATACAAAGCATGCTTTTCACCAGAATCAACTTGCAATCTGATCATGTCCTCTTCAGCTAAGCTTCTCACTCTCATAAGGCAAAAGTATGATTCTGCAACGACAATAAGAAAGCATTACATGATTATGCAATAAAAGAAAAACAAAGAGAAACCATAAGCACGCACCTTGCACAACCTCACAAGTACAAGCATTGCAGAGAGAATTTACTCTAGTTTGGTGGAGAACAGGAACCCGCTTCATGTACTGAGTGCTACCTTGAATGTATGCCCGACTTTGATTGCTAAAAGAACTATTGGCGGGCATGCATGGTAAGACACGAACTCTCCGTAGTGAAGCCAATCTAGATGAGAAAGTTGACTGGAAATTCGACATATGATGCCTGAATGAACACAGTTTTACTATTGGTCTCCCCAATGACATTAAATTGCAGCCAGAAGGAATGTCCAGAGACATTCTGACCTTACGGGCTGTAACAGAAAATGATGATTAGTATGCAGTCCATAGGGTGAGAAATATGAAATACATGGGAGAACCATGATAATGGTGATCTTCAAAGCAGAAATATTGCTTTATGATGTAGGCAAAGATTTGGAACAAATTAAATCTCAAAATATTCCTCGACTTTCGCATGTGGCCAATATTTTAGTTCCAGAATATCACATTTTTCCAATTTAATTTATTGACTATACAATAAAGATACAAAATGATCTGTCATGTAGAAATTGTGATATGAAATTGATCCAATCCCAATTTAATCCACCAACTAGACAAAATTGATCCAAATTTATTCACTAAGAGTCCATTGTGGATCAATATTGTATGGTCAAGAGACTAAATTTGAAAAATATTATACTCTGAAGCTAAACTAATCCACAACAAATAGTCAAAAGAAATTTTTGGATTTAACCTGATTTTGAAAATGACACGAGCAAGAAAAAAGTTCATGCCTTGAACAGTCAACTTTCCAAAGATTCTTTTTTGCTTTATCACGGTTCCTTCAACAGGTTCTGAAGAGCGTTTTTCCAAGAGTTCCTCCTCTGATTGCAACAGTATCTGCTGCAACCTGCATGATTTTGTGCACTTTAGGCAGGGAAAATGTAGAACAACAACAAGCCTTTATCCCACTGTGGGGTTGGCTACAAGAATCTTTTTTCTCCATTGAGTTCGGTTAAGAGTCAAATTGTCATCTAAAGAAAGGCCATTTCTAATATTTTTTAATCAATTCCTTTTAGGTCTACCTCTATCTCTGACATAATCTAAAGGACATTTTGTGCACCTTAGGCAGGGGAAATTTAGAAAAGAGAAAAAAAATATAGATGCAAGAATCAAGTAACACAAAAATGAAAATATAAAACAATAAGGTATATTGTATCATAGCATGTACTATTCACAAATAAAATGTCTCTATTAAAGGTTTTAATGCTGACTGGGTACATCCTATTTATAACGTGTAAAATCCAGATTTAGAAAAATGATATGTAGGTTATACAACCTACTAATCAACAATAAAGTAAGAAGAAAATATAGGGAAATGTAAAATTGCATGGACCATACACAAATCAAAAGCCTTGATAAAAGGTTTAAAGCTGATCGGGTACATTCTATACTGATTGCAAAACATGCTACAAACACTGGTGTGCAGGTTATACAGCCTATTGTACAGCAAAAAATAAAGCTACTGATGTCAACTTAACTCCATAAGCCACCCTAACCCCTTCGTTACAACTACCCCTCACCTCAACCAGTAAGGGTTTAAGTAGGATAATTTTCCTTAAGATGACAACAGATGTGTCACCTTTTTTATTTTTCTTCTTTAAGTTGCATAAAATGTGATTCAAACTAAATCAAGTAAATACACCTATTTTTCCAGAAAACTGAAGGCTTATATATATAACAGTGCAAGAAACATTTCATGAGATGTTCATATAATTCAACTAGTCTGATTTTACTTCATAAATAGTTATTTAGTTTTTTAGAAACTAATATATTGCTTGTCTTTAGTTTTATGTAACTGATACTGCTCATGGAATGACGCTAACCAGAGTACAGTGAAGAGATTGTATATTCGCCTTTTCATGGTATTTAAGGGATCTTTAATAGAAAATCAAAGCACACTCTATTTTTGTCTCTATTCTAGGTTTTTGCTGTGCCAAATTGATATCAAAGACCATAGCAGAAGGCAACAAGTAGTCTGTTGGTAATTACATTGTCAGCTGAGAAGTTTTGGCAATGCTCACAGCTCCCTGAAAACTACCTCCGCGGACTTCCAATGCTATGTCACGAAGATGCGTTGAGATTCACAACATCAAGAATGATGGTAACTTCACCTGGAGCCACACCAATAGAACTGCCAACCATAACAACATCTAGCAAGACAGTTACAGTGCATCGAGGTCTTCTCGTTAGTTTGATCCTTATACGGATTTAATTCCAATTAAGATTAAATTCCTCATCGAAGGGATGTGTACTCCAGTTGGGAATTCAATGTTGAAGCCCAACAACCCGACCCAAAGATGACATTGGTAAGAGAAAGGATATAGCGACTTCAAGGAAAAAATCGACATCTTGTCCTTGATGGTCAATAACTTTTTTTAAATATAAGGAAATACTACCCGAGTAATAGACTAAATATATTGCTTGCAAAACTTATGCAATCTCACCAAAGGGAGGGCCAATGATTTGTGAAGAAATGGAGTCAGATGAAGTAAATGCTAGGAGTTATTTCCTTCAAACTATGAGCATATGCTATATTTGCATTATTAATGATTCTTGCAAAGGATTTGCAATTGGCTCAAGAAAAACGGCGCGTCAACATGAATCCCACTTTACAGTTGTAGGATAAAATTCCTCTTAAGTCATATTGTAATAATCAGATTTCTCCAAAGAAATAGTGTCAGGGTTTACTTAGATTTGGGTCCTTCTCATAAGAGTAAGCATTCATAGTTAATTATCTCTCATAACACGTAAGAGAGAACTCTTGATTAAGAATGAATAAATTTTAGGTGTTTTAGTCACAATTATGGGGAAAATGGAGATAAATCCGATCAAGATCCCATTGAAGATGTTATTGATATCAGGATTACTAATACTAAACATGGCGAGCACAAAAGGTTCTTGGTTAAATGGAGCAATTGTCCATTGACTGATTGTATATGAATAGATACAGTTGAGCTTAAAAATCGTCATCTAGATCTCTATCGAAAATTTGTTGAAGCCTTCTCATCAGGAGATGAGATTCTCCCACCAGAGGAAATTTGATGCATGCAAATTTCAATTTATTTTAGTTTTTTTTATTGTAATTTGAATGCTATAGTTTTTTTTATATATATATACTACCCTATGATGGAAAACATCCAATGATTATAAGTAGGTAGTTCTTGGGCTTGACAAACTTTGGGTGTGCTAGCTATTTGGGTTCCTTGGTTCTTGGGCTGCTGCTTGCTCTCGGGTTGGGCTTGGCTACTCAGTTTTTTGCTGTGTTTTTTTGAGCTACTATGTGTCAGCTCATTAATGTTTGAGCTGCTGTTTTTCAACTCATTATGATGGGAAGTTATCCTCCTTTTTAGCTCATTATGTGGAGTGTCTCTTTCCCTTTCCCCTTCTCTGTGGCCCTTCAGTTTTCCCTGCCTGGCTATCTGTTCCGATTCCCCTAGCTGTTGTTCCAGTTCCCTTGGCTGCCTATCCCGATTCCCCTGGCCGTCCGTTCCTTCCCCCTTGGCTGCTTTTTCTGATTTTCTGTGTGGCTGTTCGGGTGTTGTTTCTGAACTAAATGTTGACCTTCAATTTCCCCTTTTCTCCTATAAAATTGAGGTGTTTTGAAGCATAAGAGATTGTTGATTATTTGAGGAAAGTCTCTTAAAAAATCTGAGGGTTTCTTCTTTGGAAAAGCTTGAGAGCTTGTTTCATTCCTCTCTTCTTCTTGGGAATGCTTGCGAGCTTGTCCTCCCCTTCGTCTCGTCTTCTAACCTCTTTCTTCTCTCCATAAGTTCCACTCCACTTGTATCTTTCTTCTTGAGCTATTGGAGTTGTTTATTGGCTGATTTGGTAGCATTTATCGGAGGAGTTTTGGTGGACGTTGGACCTTGTAGCAGTGGTGGACCCTTGGTTTGCAAGCCCTTAAGCACTTCTTTTATATTGCCTACTTTTTGTTGCATGTGAGGAAACCGCTTGCCGGTTGTTCTGAGGGTAGTTATTTTTAATTTTAATTTTGTTTCGTTTGTTTTGACTTTTGTTTGTTTGAGGTTTGCTTGGATGTTGGTATTCTAAATGTTGAATCGAGTCATGTTCTACTAGTCCTGGTGTTCTTTTCTCTTGGCTCTTTATATCTAGTTGCCCGCATCAGCTTGTGATGTTCCCTTTTGTCTACTTCTTTGATTTCACTCATTACTTGGGGTCTTTCCATATAACTTCCAGCATGTCTCATTTGTATGCCTTGATTTCTTGCAATAGCTGCACCAAAGGGAGTCTTTGTCTTTAGGATTTGAGAAATCCTTACATGTTTTCTTCCATGACGCCTCCTTTGCTATCAACATTGTTGAACCTTCAACAATCTTTGGTTCTAGCATTATGCCTTGTCGGCTTTTCTCAACACGAATGAGAGAAATGGTCTCATTCAGTGAGGGTGTCTCCTCTTTGCCAAGGATCTGAACTCTATTTTGGTCAAACTCTATACTTTATCCTGCAAGAAAGTCATTCACTCTATCTTTCTCAACAAAAGCTTTTTAGGATAACCACATCTTTTGAACACTTAGTTTCTATGCATCTGTAGTGATCAAGTTCTTACCAAAGGATCTACCTGGTGGATCATGCTCCAATTCATCCAAGAGCATCATCTGGATGTAAACTTCAAATCGAATAGCTGCTTTTCCATGTATTTGAAGTTTACTTCACACTTGACCAACCCTACATGAAACTAAGCTCAAAATTGAAAAATACTTGATTTAGAGGGGAATTAATGGGGATTTTTGTGTAGGTAATGTTGTCTTGTCCTAAAGAGAAACCCACCATCTGATGTCAAAGACAGTAGAGCAATGGATAAAATGTTGGATGTTTGGTTAGAAAGAATGGATAGAGCTTGGTCAAATGATTATATATATTGGCATATTCAATCACGGTCTTGCTTCCTTATTTTGTGCTTACCACCTTGACTTTAATTTCAAAGATTTAAGTAGCATCCCGAACTTTTGAGAAGGTTTGCCTGGCGGCATCCCATGTGTCTTTACAATAGATAAGAACATGAAAGTATCGGTAATTTCTGGAGTTTTGGAATTCCACAACCATAACATGATCATGGAGTCTTCTTCACCCCATGCCCAAAAATTATGATCATCCTCTTTTGGTCCTATCCCAAGGAGGTGATTTATCTTTTCATTTCCTTTCAAATAGGTCTTCACAAATTGAGACCACATCAAATAATTCTACTCATTTTAGCAATAGGATAGTTGCATATTTTTGAGATCTCCTCTTCCTTGGTGCACCATAGAGTCCTCCATTTGGTCAAAGCTTTGGGAGGAATTTTCTTCAGATATTGTGGAGGCAAAGGTCAACGATGAAGGTTACATCAAGCAGGGAAGTAATGAAGGTTGTGTTGGTTATATATAGGATAACAACAACAAGGGAAGACCGGCAATGAAGGCACAACAGTACAAAAATTTCAGAATTCTGGCAATGGCAATGAAAGCTTTGATATCATGTTAAATTTAAAGAATTGGAGAGGGAAAAGGCTTAATTTTATTGCACAAACTTGCCCCTATTTATAGATCTATACAATATGTCATAATAAAGAAACAAATTATTATAGAATAATGTATAATTGCTCTAATATAATCCTTCCTAAATCAGCCATCTAAATATGGAAGAAGATTAGCGTGATCCAGGTGAGCCTCCCACGGATTCCCATCTTAGCCATGGAATCAAAATGCTAAGAGACGGCTAGGATTTAATAGGTGAGCCTCCAACGGATTCACATGCTAGCCGTGGGATCAAAATGTCAAGGGACAGCTAGGATTTAGCACTAACACTACAGACATACAAGAGAGCCAAGTAAATAACCCCAAGGAACGCAACCCTTCGGAAAAACGAGAAAGAAAACCGTCCAGTCCATCTCACAACACTGCGGCGCTAGTTTGGGGTTCTGCGTTGCTCAAGCCTCTTTCTAATGGCGTTCCAGTGCTCAAACTTGCATCACAGTGGTGCCGAACTTGTAACGCTGCTGCGCTGAATACAAAGCGTTGTGATGCTTTGCTCTTTGTCGATCAGTGCTAGGGCGTTGGGGAACATAACGTTGGGGCACTTGGATACACATTGTCGGGGCATTGTATGAAAATAAATTTCAGTTGAAAAGCACCCGAACCCAAGCAGGGGGTAAACCCCCCACAACCCCCAGTAAGCACGACAAACTTAAGGTCTGAGGCAACAAAACTACCCAATTGATCAACGCAATCAGTTTCGACACATAACAATCTCCCACTTAAAAAACTAATTGCATTCAATCCTTCTCCCGGTCTTTAACACTAATCATAGTACTTGTAGTGTGGCTCACCCCTACTCGCATCCTCCATAAAGGCCAACTAAAGCTACACATAACTTCAGTTTATCAACTGTCACTGTCTTCGTTAGCATCTCTGCAGGATTCTCGGTCATGTGTATCTTCTCCAAAGATAATTAACCATCTTCTAGACAAGACCTGATGAAATGATAACGAAGATCTAAAACTCTTAATATGAGTGCATCCAGTCATTATGAGGGAAGGACTTGAGCATTTATCTTTCCTGATGTTAAAAACAACTATGGTGATAAGGTAGCAACAGCTTGTGCATAAACTATTGGGAAAATATCTGAAGAAAATAAACTGTTACCAGCTCAAAACGGTAGACCTATGATGATTGCTGAGTTCATCTTTGAGTTTCAAATTTATTTTAAAAAAAAAAAACATTGGCATAAGTGGACAAGAAATGAGTCCAGTCAACAATTGCCATCACCTTGACAAGATAGATGGCAAACAAAGACAATGTGAACACCAAGTACAAGGAATGTAAATGATGGTCAGTGTTTCAGGTCTATCATGCATATATAATTAGAACTTTTTAGGATAAAAAACTATTAGCATGTGTAAATGGAGGAAAATATTCCTAAAACAAGCGCAACAAATGATGGCAAAGTTAAATAAAATACTGACAGGGAACCATAAATGCAGTACTCATGTACAATTCTATATTGTACAACTAAGCCACATCTCATTGTTTTCCTAACTCAGGCTCATAATTTAATCATAAGTTCACCAAAGATAAGACTTTTAATTATTTTCAGCAATAAAACTGCCAAACTGACGGTATTGCTCACCCAAAAGAACTTCGCAACAGTGAACATTCATTTTCCAAGAATTTCGGAGCATCCATGCAACCCCGTGCCCATAGATGAAGGCAAAGACGAACACATGCATCATATGCAATAACAGAATACCAAGGCCCTTGTTCACTGCACTAGCAGTGCCGAAAACTAAAATTAGCTCAATAAACGAAATTCTGAAAAAACTTTTTGTACTGAAAATATCAGTAGCCTTAGTACTTACCATGCATGAAAATTGGGAACTTTTAGCGGCAAAAACTTGAGAGGAGCTGAAGTCTCACTACCAACTGAAGGGTACCTGTAAGACAGAACAATCAGAATAAACTACTTGAATGGCATTATTTAGTTGCCAATGACCTGAAACATCGTGGCAAGTGGCACAGTGGTATCCCCTCATACCACTGGTGGAGGTTTAGGGACACCTGAAAACATTTCAATACAGTTCACAGTTTACTGACCTAATATCCCCGTTTGTTTTTTGGCTTCCAGAATTTGTGCGAGAACTAGTACCATTTTGAGTAGAATAGATATTAAAAGCTGCCATATGGCCAGCATCATATGCAGTTAAATTGGTTGAAGGACCCATAGCTTGGTTGATTTCGTGATTAGAAGCATGGCACGGTGGGGCGCTTGGTGTATCAACAGGAAACCCCTGTATGCATGCATGATTTAGCAGTCCTCGTGAAACTTCCATTAGAAATGAAGTATATCTCAGTTTTTGATAATGCAAGTTATGACTTCATAACGAATCTGAAGCATCAGTACTAAAAGCAATAATAAGATTCAATGTGAACGTCTAGTAAATAAAAGTCGTACTGCCTCATAAAAGTGTGGTAAAAAGCTATGATTAGCTAACGTATACTGATTTTGTAACATTCAGATTTCTGACTGTGGAACTATGTTTTTGACATACCATGACCATGGTTATAATTAGTTTATGTCCAATGATGAATGGTTTTATTATGAGAGCGATATCATGCACTGCTTGCAGAGAAAGCATTTTAAAGTTAGGCTTCCATGATCAACCAACCATTACCAATGGACATTACCTAGTTAGATGCGCCATGTTAACACAATATTCTAATCAACTATTCCAATGATATGAAAGAGAGATGTAAGGGGTATCATAAAAAGAGATTTATTTGTTGGAAGGTTGACAATAAGCATTAAACATTGGAGGTAATAGTTAGAAGCTAGAGCCTTCACAGAAGAAAATTCATGATTGACATGGGCAGGTGATCGATGAGGTATGAGAAAGGAAGTGGTAGAATTTTTTATGTCAAGTGAGTATAATTGATGGAGAAATTGTGCTTGAGTTTTAAGAGAAAATAAGAGAGATGAATACTAGTGAGATCAAAGTTAGAAAAATATTTGGGTGAAAATATTTAAAACCTACATTTATTTTTCTATAATCATCACTTTTTGCAATCGTAGATGTGGATAAATGTCACAGATTCATATAAACTCTCTCGTTATGTTTCTAGTGTTTATCCTTGTGTATTATGCTTGTTAAAAAAAAAGTACTCACAACTTTACGCTATAGAAGTATCAACCCAAAAAAAAACTCTTGTGAACTATGAAGTAATTGTAAAAGAGATCAAGCACCATGACAAAGTGAATACCAAAATTTAGGTATTTAACCTTAAGTCTACATATGTGGGAATGGAGAGAGAATCTTATTCACTAATTAAAAAGCTATAAATGTAACATATAATAACATGACACTCATCATCCATTCCCAAAGCCTAAATTCATCCTCATTCAATAAAGAAAAAGAGAAGCTCGAGTATCTTTAAGTAAAAGAAACTTAGGAGAAATAACAAAAAAAGATGATTAAACTAATACCAAAAATTACATCAATTTGTCTGGATAATAGTACAAACTCCTTGAAATGAATTTCTTAATTTTTTCCTTCTTTTTCTCTCTTTTTCTGCTCACTAATCCATCTTCTCAATTCCTTTTCAGCTCCATAAATAATTCAAGATTACTTTATGCTTCCATGTCAATTAAATATTCATATATTATAAGTTGATATAACCATCAAATCATTGCAAAGCTGCCTAACTCATACAAAAATCACATGACCAAATTCTAAGCTTGCACACAAGAGCTTATAAAAACCATTTTAATCCATTCAAATACGAGGTTCTAATATGAATTTTCTAATTTGCTCAAACGCGAGGTTTAAATATACAATGTTACACTTTTTCTTTTTAATAAAAGGGTTAAACAAGCAAGTCAACTCTATACCATCCATAAATTATGTCGGCTATATGTCTTGATAACCATAAAACATCCATCAATTACAAGATGTGTGTCGCATACATAGCCAACCGACTCTTTTTATATACGATGTTACACACTAAAATAGCTCAAATTTCAAACTAAGGTTTGCATAATTTTTTCCTTAAATCAAGTAAACCATGAAAAACACACTAAAATGAGTAAACGACACAAATAACAACATTATCAAACAAAATTTGAGAAGAAAAACTAAAAGGCACTCAAGAATGAAATAATTTTGTTTGAAGAATTCTTACTCTAAAACTCCCACTGATGAATAACTTTGTAGACGGTTGAGTGAGAGGCGAGTACACCCCTAAGCTGGCAAGAAGCTTCGGCAACAGGTGAGGCTTGAATAACAACCATGAATTTCAGGAAGAAGAGGACAGGAACGGGAAGGGAAAGGGACGAGAACGGGAACAATTGAAAAGTGCAAGGGTTCGCGTGCGAATGGACGCCAGAGAAATTTTTGCGTAATTAGATGGAGCATGCGGCGGAATACTGAAGTAGGGTTTTCTCCGGCAAATTTCCAGCAGAAATGTCCGTCGAATATTTTCCGGTGGAATTTACGCCGGTAAATCCGTCGGCCTACTTGAAGCCGGAGGGACTTTCAGCCGGAAATTCTCAGCCCACATTTCAGCCAGAAATTCACTCGGAAACAACTTACAAATTTCCATTTCCAAATATGCCAGCATTCCCTCTGCAAATTCCAGTGGTCTATGATCTGTCGGAAATAGCCTTTTTTTTTGTGGTAGTGTTACTACAGGCCTCATCATGTGATTCATGCATAGATATTGAGTCATAAGCCATTTTCAAGCTTTTACATAAAAAAATTGAAACCTACCTTCCCATGTGATTCAAACATGATATTTCATCATTACTAAATAGTAAGGCATGAAAAATAAGCCATTTTCAACGCTAGCTTTCGAGCCTACATGAAAAGTGGGAACACTGGCAAACTAAAATAGTAAGGCAAGGACCGACCAATTTGATGGCAAGTACTTCAAGCACTAGAGGATGTATGTCAAGGATTATCTATACCGAAGAAAGTAACATATCTCTCTTAGAGCCAAAGTCAATAACTATGAGCAAAGAAGACTAATAAATACATGACAAAACATTGGGGGTTGTACATCTATCACTGAAAAAGGATGTTTCCTTTAGTATATAAGAGAATCACTACTAGCATGATGAAAGCTTTGTCAAACATGTATGACAAATATTCAAAAGTAAATAAGGTACATTTAATAATAAAGTTTTTCGATCTTAGGATGACTAAGGCTTTTACACAATAGTGCGTATCAATGAGTTTAATCTGAACACCTTTTAGTTAAGCTTGGTAGATATTAACTTTGATGTTGAAGTTCATTCTTTGAGAGCTTATTATCATCATTATCAAAACATTGGACTAGAATTATAATAATGATTAGTAATTCAGGTGGGTTTTAAATTTGAAATTTAATAATATTTGAAATCTAATCTTAAACGAGGATATTAGCATATGAGAATGTTGACCCGTTTATAAAAAAAAAAATCAAATCAAAAAATCAAAATCCCTACCTACTCGATGCCAACCCACGTCGCTCCCCACGTCGAGCCGTTCGTCGCACGTCGAAGCCACGACCGATGTCGTTTCTCCCCACGTCGCGGCAGCCCGCACGACTTGGCGTCGTTAAAAGCCAACGAAAAAGAGGCCTTCGGCCTCCTCCTGCCAATCTCTCTTCTCCAGAACTCCAAGCTCTCTCATCCGATCCCGATCTTTCTCTCCTCCTATATGCATATACATGACATATGACATCTATCAAAATAAAAGCACTTGTTAAGTCCGTTGTATATGATTCTGGTGGTGCAATGCAAGAAAAACTTTCTATCAAGTAAGAGTTTCTAAAAGACAAATGGGCATTACAAATCAAATAGTATTTTAGGATTACAAAGTAACATGGTAACAAGGAAATTATTATGGTAAAAGATGATGATGTTACGATTCAGCCCAAACCGACCCAGGAGAGGTTGGTTCAGACGTATAGGAGGTGGACTAAGTCGCCTCCTCTAAACCCAACCGCCTAAGCATGTGCCCCCCCCCCCTCCCTGGGCGGCAATAGGAGAGAGAAAGAGGTCGGTTTAAGCAAGACGAGGCAATTTGAAATTAATTTATATTAGGCAGCTTTTTATTATGAAGGATTGTATATAAAGAACATGAGAGGCTAGGGTTAGGGCATGCATGATTATTGTTTCTCTTGAAGTTCTCTTTGGTGTCTTGGGCTCTAGGCTTCTCGTCTAGAGATTGGGAGAGAACGATCCTCCTCTCGAATTGAGGATCAATTGTATCTTTGTTTCATTTTTGTATCGCTTTGATTTCTATAAAATTATCTACTGATTTTGATTGCTTCCACAAATTCTTCTATTTTTCTTGCTGAATTTACCGATTATTGTTAGGTTTGCTTGTGAACTCAAGTATTCCCATTATGGTTACTTGCGAACGCAAGTATTTCCTATCAAATTGGTATCAGAGCAAGCCTTGGGACCATTGGTGGGCTAATTTTGGCGAATTTCAACGGCTGAGTATTGGCCGGGAAAAGAGAAAGTTGCTATTTTCATGATCCAAATCTAGAATTTTTGAACCTACAAAGATCAGGATAATGATGGCGGCCAAGAATGCAGATGCGCTAGAAGAAAGACTTGAAGGGGAGATGAACAAAATCAACACAATGGTGGAGGAAAGGATTTTCTTCATGGAAGGACAAGTAGCCGATCTCCGGGATATGATGAAGAAAATGTTGGAAATCCACAACCAAATGGTGGCTTCTGTGGCAAACGGGCAGAAGCGAAAAACACGAATTTTGAAATTCATAGGGAGGAAGATGAGGTGGAGATCATGGAGGGAGAAAGAAGGAAATCCTATATGGAGCCTTTCCAGAGGGAGGATAGAGGAGGTAGGTATGGGGAAAGGAATGGGTATGGAGGAGCGGAGCAAAGAGGTGCTGATTGGGAACGCCGGGAGGGACATTTTGGTTGTCAAGGTGCTGAATTTAAAGGAAGGAGAGAGAAATTCAAAGGGGGTTTGGGTTATGATAGGGCAAGGAAAGATCGGGAGACATGGGGAGGACCAAGCACTTGGGAAAGGGGGAGCTATGGAGGAATAAGAGTGGGGAGATCATAAGGTGAGGATGCTAAAGATGCCCATATTCGAAGGGAAGGATGCATATGAGTGAATTTATAAGGTGGAGAGGTACTACACCGTAAATGGGCTAACAGAGGAGGAGAAGCTAATAGCAGCGGGCTTATGTTTGGATGGGAAGGGGCTATCATGGTACTAGTGGACTAGAGGAGACCCATTAGGAGCTAGGGGGAATTCAAGAACTTTATAATAGAATGTTTCCGAACCAACCGGGGAGGAGATTTCTATGAACAGTTCATTTCTCTAGTGTAGGAGGGATCCGTAGCAGACTACCGTGAGCAATTTAAGCACCTGGCCAGTAAGTTAGAGTGATTATCAGATACTATTTTGGAGGGGAACTTCATGAAAGGGCTGAAGGAAGAGATCAGAGCGATAGTGAAAGTCCTGACACCTTGTGACTTGGGAGAGGCTATGAAGTTGGCACAACTAGTTGAAAATCAGAGAAATCTAGAGAGGGGAGCCAGGAGTAGTAGCTCAGGGGGTACTAACTGGATGATGACCACCCACTTAGCACCTAAGGGTCCTGCAGAAGGAGAAATTCGGGAGACCACCAGAGAAAAGACCATAGGAGGGAGTAGGGGAAACTTTAAGAGGCTGACAGAGAAAGAGATGCAGGAGAAGAGGAAAAAATGGTTGTGTTTTAGGTGTGATGAGAAGTACACGCAAGGGCATAGGTGTAAGGATCGAACTCTTCAGGTTCTCACCATCTGTGATGATGAGAAAATTGAAGAGGGAGGTGAAGGAGGGTTAGAGTAGGAGATAGAGGAGAAGCTACATCTAAATCTGGCTGAGGTTTCCTTGAACTCGGTGGTAGGATTCACTACGAATCATAACAAGAAGATAAAAGGGGAGAGCGAGGACAGGGAGGTGGTGGTGGTGATTGATAGTGGAGCTACCCACAATTTCATTTCCACTCAGGTCGTCGACTAATTGGGAGTGAGATTGGTGGATACAGGTTGTTATGGAGTGATGATGGGTACTGAGAAGGTGGAGAAAGGCCAGAGAATCTGTAGAGTTCTACTGACTGTCTAGGGGATTGAGGTGAGGTAAGATTTTTTTCCGCTGGAGTTAGGGAGTATGGATGTCATCCCGAGGATGAAGTGGCTGCAGACCTTGGGAGACACCAAGGTTAATTGGGGGGCACTCACTATGAAGTTGATGGTGGATGGGAGGAAGGTGGTGATAAATGTAAATGCAGGGCTATCCAAATCCATGGTTTCTCTTAAATCCATGGTAAGGAGTATACAGGAGGTGGGTGGAGGATATTTGGTAGAGCTATATAGTTTGGAGGGAGCTAGATCGGAGGAGGGAGGGGACATACCCCTTTCCATATAGCCGTTGATTTGCAATTCCAGGTGTTTCAGCCACCTCAGGGACTGCCGCCACAGAGGGAACAAGAGCATGCCATCTACTTGAGTAAAGGCGTGGAACCCATCAACGTCAGGCCCTACTGATACCCCTAATTTCATAAGGATAAAATTGAGAATTTGATCCGGGAGATCTTGGAGGCTAGGATCATCAAGTCGAGTGTGAGTCCATTCTCTAGTCCAGTCCTACTAGTCAAGAAGAAGGATGGGAGTTGGCGATTTTGTGTGGATTATAGAGCTTTGAACAATGAGACAATGTCGAATAAGTTTCCTATTCTTATGATTGACGAGCTCTTGGATGAACTGAATGGGGCAGTGATGTTCTCCAAACTGAATTTGAGGTTTGGATACCACCAGATCAGAATAAGGGAGGCATATATTTCCAAGACAGCTTTCAGAACACATGAAAGGGTATCACAAATTTTTGGTAATGTCATTTGAGTTTACCAATGCCCCTGCTACTTTCTAGTCAGTGATGAACAGGGTGTGCAGACAGTACCCTAGAAGTTTGTTTTGG